GGTGTGACGTTCTGGAGTGTTCCAGCATGCTGGGTTGGATGTCTGGTGCTTTGATTGGACTGAGCTGAGGCACAAAGCCATGGGGACGGCGTGATTCATCCTTCAGGACCCGGGGAGGGGCAGGCCTGCGGGAGACGGACAAAGCCCTGTCTGTTCTGTTCCCAGGGCCTCGGCGCAGGCCCTCCAGCAGCCCAGCCGTTCAGCCCTGCCCGTCCTGAGCCTCGGCTCATCTGGGCTGACCACACCTGCCCCTCCACCTGGGCGGACGGCATCGGGCTGTTTACCTGGGCAGCCGGTCCCTTCCTGTTCCCCAGCGATGACCTTGTCACGTAGCCTTCTTTCTTGCCTCAGTGGGCCTTGTCTTGGAGCTTGAGAACAAAAGCTCCTTTCTCGTGTTTGACCTTCTGCAGTGACGGACATGAGGCCCTGTCAGCTCTGTGGACTGTCACTGTAATCAGGGCGCTGGAAAACCGGGGATGAGGCTGGATGAAGACAGGAGGAAGTGCGGAGAGTTCACACACACACACACACGTGAAATAACACGCCTCACGAACACAAGAAACGTCCTGTTCAAACCTGGTGGAAAATTTTTAGGGTCAAAGAAGACAATGAGTCAGAACTTATGCAACAAAACTGATATTACTTGATTGTCTGTTGGTGGTGTCACTGCAAGTATGTTGTCGAGAAGAGGGAAGGCACCCGATCTCCAGTAATGCGTCCTCACTAGCAATGCTTCTTCTAGTCCCAGGGCTGTCTGCGCTGCTCCTTCCTGAGCTCCTCCTTTCAACCCTGGCCCTCAGTACCAGTGCACACCTAAGTGGGCAGCCCTGGTTCTTTTGTTTGTTTGTGTCTGTCCTGGGGCTTGAACTCAGAGCCCACGTGCTGTCCCTTACCTTTTCACTCAAGACTACCACTTGAGCCACAGCACCACTTCCTGGGTTTTGCTGGTTAATTGGAGATAAGTCTCACAGACTTCCTACCAGGACTGGCTTTGAACTGTGATCCTCAGATCTCAGCCTCTTGAATAGCTAAGAGGACAGGTGTGAGCCACTGGTGCCTGGCTCAGCCCTGCTTCTTGTCTGAGTCAGAAATACAGTCTCAGGGCTGGGAAGGTGGCTCAGTGGTAGAGCGCTTGCCTTACACGCATGAGGCCCTGGGTTCGATTCCTCAGCATCACATAAGCAAAAAGAAAAAAGCCGGAAGGGGCACTGTGGCTCAAGTAGTACAGCACCAGCCTTGAGCTGAAGAGCTGAGGGACAGCGCCCAGGCCCAGAGTTCAAGCCCATGACTGGACCCAAAAAAAAAAAAAAAGTACCAAAGAAATACAGTCTCAGACTGGATGGACGGACAGGCGGCCGGGGGGAGGGAGGGGCTGTTGGCTGGGGTCCCTAAAACTGCGGACTCAAGGTAGCACTGCACACAGCCTGCAAAGCCACGTGTAGGGTAATAAAATACCAGAGCTGTCGTGGGAGCCCCCAAATGCTAACCTTAAGGTTCTAGAACCCAGGGGACTAGGCTGGGAGCCCCTAGGGGAGCGTGCATCTTCCTGGAGCCATTGTTTCTTTTTTCTTTTTTGTTGGTTGTGGGTCTTGAATTCTGGGCCTGGGCCCTGTCCCTCAGCTCTTCAGCTCAAGGCTAGTGCTCTACCGCTTGAGCCACAGCACCACTTTTGGTTTTCTAGTGGTTTATTGGAGATAAGAGTCTCATGGAGTTTCCTGCCTGGGCTGGCTTTGAACTGCAATCCTCAGATCTCTACCTCCTGAGTAGCTGGGATTATAGACGTGAGCCACTGGTGCCTGGTGAGCCATTGTTTCTTAGAGCAATTATTATTACTATTATTGTTTGTTGTTGTTGTTGGTTGTGGGTCTTGAATTCAGGACCCACACTGTCCGTGAGCTCTTTTTGCTCACCTAGTGCTCTACCACTTGAACCACAGCTCTATTTCTGGTTTTCTGGTGGCTTATTGGATATAAAAGTCTCACAGACTTTCCTGTCTGGGCTGGCTTTGAACCATGATTCTCAGATCTCAGCCTCCTGAGTGGCTCGGATGTGAGCCACTGGCATCCAGCCTTTTAGAACAATGATTCCACCCCAATCTCTCCCCAGAGCCCCCAGCTTCCTATCCCAGTGAAATCTCCCCCTTCCCGGGGCCCAGCCCGCTCCCAGCTCCTTCCACACCAGCCTTGTGGGCACAGCCTTTCCCCAGCCTCCCTGCCTCTGCCCGCCCCCCCCCCCCCCCTCCCCATGTCTAGCAGCATAGTGGATTCATAAGAAAACCAGCAGTGGCTCCGGTTCTGTTTTCGGCAGCTCAATGTCAAGGGCTGGCAGCACCTGTATGTGTCAAGCAGAGGTGGGACCTGGGGGCTTTCCAGAAGGTGCCCTTTCTTGTTTTCTTTCTTCCTTCCATGCTTGCTTGCTTTTATCCCCCCATTGGTTGTGGGGCCTGAACTCTGGGCCTGGGCGCTGTCCCTCAGCTCTTCAGCTCTAGGAGAGCGCCCTCCCACTTCAGCCATAGCGCCACTTCTGGTTTTCTGGTGGTTTATTGGTGATTAGGGTCTCATGGGCTTTCCTGCCTCGGCTGGCTTTGAACTGCAATCCTCAGATCTCAGCCTCCTGAGTAGCTAGGATTTCAGGTGTGAGCCACCAGCGCCCGGCTCTTTCTCTTTCCTTCTTTCCTTCCTTCCTTCCTTCCTTCCTTCCTTCCTTCCTTCCTTCCTTCCTTCCTTCCTTCCTTCCTTCCTTCCTTCCTTCCCCCTCTCTCTCTCTTTCTTTCTCTCTGTCTGTCTGTCTGTCTCTCTCTTTCTTTATTTGTCGCCAGTCCTGGGGCTTGAACTCGGTGCCTGGGCTCTGTCCCTGAGCCTCTCTCTGTCCCTGGTCAAGGCTAGCACTCCACCACTTGAGCCACAGTGTCACTTCTGGCTTTTTCTGTGTATGTGGTAGTAAGGAATGGAACCCAGGGCTTCATGCATGCTAGACAAGTGCTCTACCACTGAGCCACTTTCTCAGCCCAGAAGGTTCCATTTCTGCGGGGCAAGGTGACAGTGTCAAGCCATTGCCTTGTCCATAAGATACAGGGACTGAGCAGACAATCATGCTGTTTGTCACCTCGCTGACTTCCTCTCCGCCATTTATTGCTGAGTCCCCAGGGGAGAGGTGCTCTCTTGAACCCCTCTGGAAGATGGGGAAACAGAGGCACAGAGCAGGCAGTAAGCTCCCTGAGGTCACACAGCCGGTCGTGGCTGGGCTGGAAGGTGAAGACCCTCAGAGCCTTTGCTCTTGACTTTGCTTCAAGAGTCTCTCAGCTCTTTTATTATTATTTTTGTTTTTGTGTCAATACTGGGGCTTGGACACTGGGCCTGGGCACTGTCTCTTAGAATTCTTTGTCTTTTGCCAGTCCTGGGGCTTGAACTCAGGGCCAGGACATGGTCCCTGAGCTTATTTTGCTCAAGGCTAATGCTCTACCACTTGAGCTACAGCGCCACTTCCAGCTTTTTCTGTGTATGTGGTACTGAGGAATGGAACCCAGAGCTTCATGCATGCTAGGCAAGCACTCTACCGCTAAGCCACATTCCCAGCCCTCCCTTGGCTGTTTTACTCAAGGCTAGGCCCTACCACTTGAACCATAGCTCCACTTCTGACTTTTTCCCTTTTCCTTTCTGGACTGGCTCTGAACCGCAATCCTCAGATCTCAGCCTCTCGAGTAGCAGGGATTTCAGGCTTGAGCCACGGCGCCCAGCTTCTTTCAGTTCCTGAGCATTATGGCTCTAAGTTCAGCAGGATCTTTGCAAGTGGTTGCTAGGCTCCAATGACCTCTGTTGCCCTCACTGGGAAGGAGAGCTGCCATTTTGCCCTCCCAGCCTTCCTCAGGCCAACGGACAAGTGAGCTCTGGGATCGGTGAGGCCAGAGCAGATTGCTCCTTTGCACCTGGCACGCTGGGCACCGCTTGCCTTCTGCCTTTGCCCTCTCTGAAAGGCTTGTGCAGCGCTGGCCTGTCAGCCGGTGGCCATGCCCAGCTAAGTGGATGCACAAGGATTAGGCAACCCATTGATTCGGCTGAGTGGCCTGGGTGTGCCCCGGTGTGCCCAGCTGTCAGAGCAAGTCAGTGGAGGTGCGTGCTCATGCTCGCCCACATCGCCTCCAAAGGCCCAAAGGCACGTGTGGGCATGTGGCTCCTGATCCTAGCTCCAGGGTCGGGGTGGGGGGGAGAGAGAGAGACAGAGACAGAGACACAGACAGAGATACAGAGACACAGAGACACAGAGACACAGAGACACAGAGACAGAGACAGAGACACAGAGACAGAGACACAGAGACACAGAGACAGAGACACAGAGACACAGAGACACAGAGACACAGAGACACAGAGACAGAGACACAGAGACAGAGACAGAGACACAGAGACAGAGACAGAGAGAGAGGAGGGGGGAGAGAGAGGAGGGGGGAAGGAAGGAGGGAGAGAAGGAGACAAGGAGGGAGGGAGGGAGAGAAACTGTCTCAATCTAGGACCCTCTATTTCTTGTCCAAGGATGGGACCCCGGGCCCGGCTAGGTCAGCAGGGGTGGCTGCGTCCACCTTGAGGTGGGCAGGAGATGCCAGTCAGGCTCAGAGATGACCTTCCGGCCTCAGTGATCCTGCAGCCGCCAGGAGAAAGGGCAGAGGAAATACGTGAGCCAAGAAGCCCCGATGCTCCGAGCCTGAGGCCTTTTCCATTCCCACAGATCACTCATCCTCCTGCTCCACAATGGCTGCACTGTGCCACCCATCAGCTGGGTTTCCTAAGCCACCGGTGAACAGACGTGGGCTAATTGGCTATGCTAATGCCGGGAGGAGGGAGGCACGTGCGGGAGTGAGAAGGTCTTTTGTGGGAGGATGTTATTGCTTAGTGGGTGCTGCGCAGGGCGGATTGGCCAGCTGGACGTGGTAAATTGTTATTTACAGTTTCTGGGCTTTTAAAAGCAGGTTTCCCCGCGGGCTGCCCTGCTTCCCGCCACGCACCGCCATGCCGGCTTCCGTGGCTCTGGTGTCGCTGATCTTTCTGGGTGTCCAGGCCCAGCATGGCGCTGATTGGACCTATTCAGGTAAGCTATCATCCCTGTAGGGCTCTGGGGTCCGCACCCAGCAGGACCACCTCTCCTTCCTCAGGACCACAGCCACCCAGTTTCACTGCTTGGTGACGAAGGCAAGGCCCCATGCAGGCTGTGTGGTTTGAATTCTTTTGGTTGGTTGTGAGGTTTGAACTCAGGGCCTGGGTGCTGTTCTTGAACTTCTCCACTCAAGGCCAGCACTCTACCACTCTGAGCCACGGCTCCACCTCCAGTTTGTCTGGTGATTCATTGGAGATAAGAGTCTCACAGACTTTCCTGCCTGGGCTGGATTTGAACCGCAGTCCTCAGATCTCAGCCTCCTGAGTAGCTAGGATGACAGGCGTGAGCCCCTAGCGCCTGGCTTTGGTTTTTGCTGTTTTTGTGCCAGTCCTGAGGCTTGATTTCAGGACCTGGGCACTATCTTTTAGCCTTCTTGTTCAAGGCTGGTACTTTACCACTTGAGCCACAACTTTACTTCTAAGTTTTTTGTTGGTCAATTGGAGATAAGACTCTCGGGATTTTTCTGCATAGGCAGACTTTACATCTGATTTCCAAATCCCAGGCTCTTGAGTAGCCAGGATGACAGGGGTGAGCCGCTAGTGCCTGGTGGGCCCACAGTTCTTGTTGGGGTCTGGATGCTTGCTTTTCAGTCTTCAAATGAAGCACAAACCCAGATGAATCTGAAGGAGACGGAGGTAACGTTCTCTTCCCCCAGCCTGGCCTGGGCTCTGTGCTGTACAGCCAGCCTTCCACACTGCACCTGAGCTGCACCGGGAAGCCATCTGCATGGCACCCATGGAAGTGGAAAATAAAGTTTTTAGAAGGCTCTGGAAGCTTCCTCAGAAATGGAAATGCCAATATGCATATTACCCAGAGTGCTTGGCTTGATTGGGACCCATTTATCTTTCTTGGTTGGCTTTCAGGCTAAAACCAGAATTCTTTTTCTTTTCTTTTTGTTTTCTGGGCCTGGTGCTGTCCCTGCGCTCTTCAGCTCAAGGCAAGTGCTCTACTGTTTGAGCCACAGTGCTACTTCAGGTTTTCTAGTGGTTTATTGGAGATAAGAGTCTCATGGATGGGGCTGGGAAGGTGGCTCAGTGGTAGAGTGCTTGCCTTGTATGCCTGAGGCCCTGGGTTCGATTCCTCAGCACCACATAAACAAAAAGAAAAAAGCCAGAAGTGGCGCTGTGGCTCAAGTGGTAGAGCGCTAGCCTTGAGTTGAAGAACTGAGGGACAGTGCCCAGGCCCAGAGTTCAGGCCCCACGACTGGACCCTCCTCCCCCCCCCCCCCCCCCCCCGCAAAAAAAAGAGTCTCATGGACTTTCCTGCCTGGATTGGCTTTGAACTGCGATCCTCAGATCTCAGCCTCCTGAGTAGCTAGGATGACAGGCTTGAGCCACCGGCGCCTGGCTAAAACCAGAATTCTAAGAGGCACAATTAAAACCCCTGCCACGCTGGGCACCTGTGGCTCATACCTGTAATCCTCACTACTCAAGAAGCTGAGATCTGAGAATCAAGGTTCAAAGAGCCAGCCCAGGAAGGAAAAGTCCATGAAATTCTTTTTTTTTTTGGGTCCGGTTATGGGGCCTGAACTCTGGGCCTGGGCGCTGTCCCTCAGCTCTTCAGCTCAAGGCTAGCGCTCCACCACTTGAGCCACAGAGCCATTTCGGCTTTTTTCATTTTGCTTATGTGGTGCTGAGGAATCGAACCCAGGGCCTCATGCATGCAAGGCAAGAGCTCTACCACTGAGCCACCGTCCCAGCCCCATGAAATTCTTATCTCTAGTTAATCACACACACACACACACACACACAGAGCCAAAACTGGGGCTGGGAAGGTGGCTCAGTGGTAGAGTGTCACCTAGCATGCATGAAGCCCTGGGTTTGATTTGTCAGCACTACATAAACAGAAAAAGCAGGAAGTGGCGCTATGGCTCAAGTGGTAGAGTGCTAACCTTGGGCAAAAGAAGCTCAGGGACAGTGGCTAGGGCCTGAGTTCAAGCCCCAGGACTGACCAAAAAAAAAAAAAAAAGCCAAAGTGGAGTTTCGTCTTGTGGTAGAGTGCTAACCTTGAGTAAAAAAGCTCAGGGACAGCATCCAAGCTCTGAAGTCAAGCCCTAGGACTGGCACCCAAAATACACACACACACACACACACACACACACACACACACACACACACACACACACACACACACACACACACACACACACACACACACACACACACACACACACACACACACACACACACACACACACACACACACACACACACACACACACACCCTGCCATCTGGCTGTGGTTCAAGTCCACATGGAGCTGTGTCTGTGGGATGTGTGGGCACTAAATACCGCTCCGATCACTGTTGGGGGGACATACTGCTTGTACCCCTCCAGGAATGAGGCCTCAGGGCCTCCTGGAAGCTTTCTGGCTTGTGCAGGAGCAGAAGACACCTGAGCTGAGCCTGCTCTGAATGTCCGTCCTTCCCAGACCGCGGGGACACACAGCCTGTTCAACGCAGTGGAATTAGGGGCGTCCTGGGGGATGGGGGTCAGGAAGTTCAGAGGGATCCCCGGCCAACTGACCTGCTCTGGAGGGAAAGAGCTTGTTTAGCAGCGGGAAGGACCCAGGGCTTGCTTGTGTGGGGCTGGCTAGGAGTGGAGGGGGTCCTGTCTGGGAGTCTGGGCTCCTCAGAGCACGCGGGGGCTGGCCAAGGGCTCAGAAGGAAGATTGTGGGTGATTAGAGGGCCCTGGAAAACATCCGGATCCAAGAAGGAGCAGTGTCAGCAAGCCCTCTGGCCTTCACCCTGGCTTCCTGCTTCCATGAGTTTAGTTTTAAAGACAAATTATTAAGCCGAGCACTGATGGCTCACGCCTGTCATCCTAGCTACTTAGGAGGCTGAGATCTGAGGATCATGGTTCAAAATCAGTCTGGGTAGGAAAGCCCATTAGACTCTTATCTTCAATAAACCACCAGAAAACTGGAAGTGGTGCTGTCGCTCAAGTAGTAGTGTGCTCGCTTTGAGCTGAAGAGCTGAGGGACAGTGCCCAGGCCCAGAGTTCAAGCCTCACGACTGACAAAAACAAACAACAACAAAACAACAAAAAACAATGCCAAGAGTAGATCAGAGAAATCAAAGCTAACTTCTGCAAGGCAGAGCGCAGGGAGAGCTTTGCTGAGGAGCGTCCCTCCGTAGCTGTACATCACCACGCCGAGCCCCAGGAAGGAAGCACGGAGGCTGGACCCACAACCGCAAATGGGCAAACAAAGCCCTTAACGGGGGTGGGGGGTGGGGGGTGGATGGAAAGATCCAGAACAATCATTAGCCTTCATTACTCTGGGGGCCTAGGATTATTAACCAGGCTCAAAATGGTTAACTTCCTTGCTCTGCCTTTTTTTTTTTCTCTGTCTGTCTGTCTTTCTGTGTCTCTTTGTGTCTCCCTTTTTCTCTATCTTCTCTCCATCATCTATCTAGAGTCAGAGTTTATGTGACCCATCCAGATCTCAGATCTGTGGAGTCACGTGATCCTCCCACCTTGCCTTCCAGGCACGGGACTACAGGACTCATCACCATGCCCAGACTGAATTTTTTTTTCAGTGCCAGTACTGGGACTTGAACTTAAGGCATGGAGGAGCTGTTCTTCAGCTTTTTTTTTTGTTGTTCCAGTCTGGCTTTTACAAATTGAGCCAAGTATTGAACTAATACTGGGCCAGCGGTGACGCGGGCAAGATGAGCACCGATGGCCCAGTGAGGACCCTGTGTGGTACTTAGCCTGGGGGCCTTGCTTCTGCTTCTAGCAGTCAGCCTGTGTACATCTCCCTGGTGGTCCCTGGTTGGATAAGGTGTGCACAAAGGGCTGTGTGTGTGTGCGTGTGCATGCACGTGCGCACACGCGTGCATGCACACATGAGCACATGTGCACCAGTCTTGGGGCTTAAACTCCAGGCTTGGGTACTGACCCTGGGCTTTTCTGCTCAAGGCTAACATTCTACCACTTGAGCCACAGCTCCACTTCTGGCTTTTCTGGTCATTAAGTGGAGATAAGAGTCTTGCTCTGGCTTTGCTGGCTTTGAGCCGCAATCCTCAGATTTCAGCCTCTGAGCTGCCTGTTGAACTGAGCACTTTGCTGTCACAGAGGGCATGCTGGATGAGACCCACTGGCCGGAGGAGTACCCGGACTGCGGGGGACAGCGGCAGTCACCCATCGACCTGCAGAGGAGGAAGGTTCGCTTCAACCCTGACCTGCAGCCTCTGGAGCTGACGGGCTATGGGGACAGCCAAGGAAGCCCATTCCTTATGACCAACAATGGCCACACAGGTAAGGAGGCTGGCCCAGGTGCACATAGCCCTGGAGGTCTGCGGGGTGGGGGGGAGGGGGCTGGTGGGGACAAGCACACTGGCTGGGGGTGAGGTTTAAGTGGTGGGGGGAGGGCACTGTGCCAAGGCCGGAAACCTGTTGACAGTGAGAATTGGGCTGCTGGCTTTTTTTTTTTGCCAGTCCTGGGGTTTGAACTCTGGGCCTTGGTGCTGTCCCTGAGCTCTTGTGTTCAAGGCTAGTGCTCTACCATGTGAGCCACAGTTCCACTTTTGGCTTTTTCTGGTTTCTTGGCGATCAGAGTCTCAAAGACACAGGCACATGCATGCACGCGCATGCACGCGCGCACACACACACACACACACGTATATTTATTGAGACTCATGATCTTCTGGCCTCTGCCTCTTGAGAATTAACAGTACACGTGTGCACTCTCATCCCTAGCTAATGAGTTTTTAATTGTCTAAAACACATTTTCATAGGCCCTAGAATTGCAGAATGGCCTGAAGCTCTGGGCCTCTCCAGATGAGCAGGAAGAGCAAATTTTCTTCAGATAACCCACTGGCGATTTAAGTGAGTTCTTTGAAAAGTAAGGACAAAGCATAGTGTTCTTTCTAGCACTGTTCCTGCCATGGAGCTCCACACAGGGCAGACTCAAGAATGCTCGGAGAGGGGCTGGGTAGGTGGCTCAGTGGTAGAGCGCTTGCCTAGCATGCATGAAGCCATGGGTTCGATTCTTCAGTACCACATATACAGAAAGAGCCAGAAGAAGTGGCGCTGTGGCTCAAGTGGCAGAGCGCTAGCCTTGAACAAAAGAAGCTCAGGCCTTGAGTTCAAGCCCTATGACTGGCAAAGAAAAAAAGAATGCTCAGAGAAGGATGCACTGGTTCAGAGAAGATGCAGGAGTCTCTGCTGAGTGATTTTGAGGGCTGAGAGGCACATGGCACTTGGTGTTTGTTTTTTGTTTTGCTTTTCAACTTATTCTGAGATGGATAATTGCACAAGTGACCTTGTGAGTTCCCCAACCTTTCTCACTCCCCTAATACTAAAATCTTCTAATCACAGTGCACTTGCTATCAGGAGGCGACATGGACGCAGCGTGATCAATTATGGACTTCGTGTGCATTACCTCACTTTCACATGCCTGTCTTTTTTTAGACCTAGGATCAAATCCAGGATCTCACATTGCCTTTAGTCATCCTGCTCCTCTCGGCTCAACTCTAATCTGGGTCAGCTTCTCCATCATTCATTGGGTTTCACGGCCTTTACTGACTGTTTTCTTCTTTATCATATATATTTTTTTAAGTATTGAAGTTGGAACTCAGGCCCTCAAACTTGGTAGGCTGATGCTTTATCACCGAGCCATGCCTCCAGTTCTTTTTGTTACAAGTTAATTAATTAGTTGCTGGTCCTGTTGTTTGAGCTCAGGGCCAGAGCACGGTCCATGTACTTTTTTACTTTTTTCCTCAAGGGTAGCACTCTACCACTTGATCCACTTCAGCTAGAGGCTCCACTTTGAGTTTTTTGGTGATTTTTCAGCAAAAGGAACCTCAGACTATCCTGCCAAGACTGCTTTGAACTGCAATTCTCAGAGCCTAACCTCCTGTGTAGCTAAGATTACAGGCATGAGCCACACTGCTGACTTCATTGGCTATTTTTAGGATACTGTAGGCTCCCTGTCTTTGCTGGGATCACAGGCTTGAGCCACTTCATCCACTTTCTCACTTAGAGACAACATGTAGAGGGCTTTGGGATGTAGAGGGCTTATTTATTTATTTATTTTGCCGTGGCTGTCTTTGAACCGCTATCTTCACACTCTTAGCTTGGGGTGACAGGCACATGCCAGCGCTGTCCAGTGAACTGCTCTGTCTGAGCTTGCCTCAAACCAAGAGCCTCCTGCTCTCAGCCTCCCAACCAGCTAGGATATACTTGTTCTGTTTTTCTGGATACAAAAAATGCTCTGGTTTTGTGTTTGTTTGTTTTCTTGTCCAATGAGAAATTGGTGGGATTCATGTTTCATAACATGGAGCAACTGCTTTTGGAAGTTAATACATTTTTCTGAACCTGTTTTGGGAAATAGGTTTAATTTTTTTTTTTTTTTGGTCAGGCATGGGGCTTGAACTCTGGGCCTAGGTTCTGTCCCTCAGCTCTTCAGCTCAAGGCGAGTGCTCTACCATTTGAGTCTCAGCACCACTTCCGGCTTTCTGGTGGTTTATGGGAGATAGGAGTCTCAAGGCCTTTCCTGCCCGGGCTGGCTTTGAACCATGATCCTCAGATCTCCGCCTCCTGACTAGCTAGGGTTCCAGGCGTGAGCCACTGGCGCCCGGCTCGCACTCAGTGCTTGGCCTGGCTAAGCATGAGCTGCATCACTGGAGCCACTGGCCGCGCCCCGCACCGTCCATTCAGTGCTGGCCTGGTGCTTGGCTCCCAGGCTCCTGCCGCTGTTGGCAGAGCGGACTCTATCAACCTCATTTAATTTCATTTAATTTATTCTCATGGACTTTCTTGCCTGAGCTGGCTTCAAACCATGATCCTCAGATCTTAGCCTCCTGAGCAGCTAAGCTAACAGGCAGGAACTACTAGCACCTATCTATAAAGCTTCTTTTAAAGGTTTATAGCTTACCCCCCCTCCACATATTTAATCCCAGTACTGTAGTTTGAACTCAAGGACTAGGTGCTGTCCCTTACCTTTTTTTTTTTTTTTTAATAGCAGTCATGGGACTTGAACTCACAGCCTGGGCTCTTACACCTGAGCTCTTTTGTTCAAGGCTAGCACTCTACCACTTTGAGCCACCGCTCCACTTCTGTTTTCTGGTGGCTAATTAGAGATAAGAGTCTCACAGACTTCGCTGTCTCAGCTGGTTTCAAACCACGATCCTCAGATATCAGCCTCCCAAGTAGCTAGGATTACAGACGTGAGCCACCAGCTCCCAGCCTATCCCTTAACTTTTTTGTTCAAGTCTGGTACTCTACCACTTGAGTCACACTTCCCCAGCTAACTTTTTGGTAGTTAGTTGGAGAGAAAAATCTCAGACTTTCCTGCCCAGGCTGGCTTTGAACTATGATTCTCAGAACTCAGCCTCCTGGGTAGCTAGGATGACAGATATGAGACACAGGTGCCTGGCTCAAATAGTAATTTTTTTTTTTGGGGGGGGGGGGCAGTCCTGCAGCTTGAATTCAGGGCCTGAGCACTGACCCTGAGCGATTTTACTCTAGGCTATTGCTCTACCACTTTTAGCCATAGCACCATTTCCAGTTTTCTGGTGGTTAATTGGAAATAAGAGTCTCATGGACTTTCCTGCCCTGGCTGGCTTCGAACTGCAATTATCAGATCTCAGCCTCCTGAGTAGCTAGGATTATAAGTATTTCCTGTATTTTTTTTTTTTTTTTTTTTGGTTGTGGGGCTTGAACTCTGGGCCTGGGCGCTGTCCCTCAGCTCTTCAGCTCAAGTCAAGCCCTCTACCTCTTAAGCCACAGCCCCACTTCTGGTTTTCTGGTGGTTTATTGGAGATAATCTCATGGACTTTTCCTGCCTGGGCTGGCTTTGAACTGCAATCCTCAGATCTCAGCCTCCTGAGTAGCTAGGATGACAGGTGTGAGCCACGGGTGCCCAGCTATTTCCCTGTTTTTATCTTTTTTTTTTTTTTTTAATACTGGGGCTTGAACTCAGTTTCTCACATTCTTGCTAGTTTGATGTTTGTTTTGCTCAAGGCTAGCGCTCTGCCATTGAGTCTTACCTCCACTTCTGGCTTTCTTCTGGCTAATTGGAGATAAGAATCTCTTGGACTTATCTGCTTTGGCTGGCTTTGAACCATGATCTTCAGATCTCAGCCTCCTGAGTGGCTAGCATTACAGGTGTGAGCCACCAGAGCCTGCTGTGGGTTTTTCTAAATACAAGTTGGGCCGTGTGTGGTTACGTGTGGTTGAACACAGGTTGTGCCTGTGTGTGGTTACACGTGGCTGGGCACAGGTTGGGCTGTGTGTGGTTACACGTGGCTGGGCACAGGTTGGGCCGTGTGTGGTTATATGTGGCTGGCGTAGGTTGGGCCGGGTGAGGTTCTGTGTATCTGGAGGAGGGCCTAGATTCTTGGTCCGGGCTCTCCCATCTTGATGAACAATGCCACGGCGAGCAGGGCCTCTCTTCGCTGGTCAGCTTCCAGGCCATATGGTGTTAGAAGCCAGCGTGGGCGCTCCCTCCCTGGGGGTAGAGCCGGCAGCTAGGCGAGGCGCAGAAGGCACGAGGGCCACGCTGGGCCTCACGCCCAGTGTCTGGGGAGGAAAATGAAGCAAACCAGTCCCAAGAGGCCCCGCTCCCTAGCTCTGTACCTCCAGTCCCTCCAGAGTGGAGAATGGAATTCTGACTTTCACACCCATTGTGTGTATGTGTGTGTACAAGTACATACATGTGCATACATGTGCATACATGTGTGTGTACGAGCTGTCCCCTTAGCTCTCACCTTGCCCTTGGCTCCCAGCTTCCCACCTGTTATTGTCAGAGCTCATTCTCTCTCTTTCTCTCTCTCTCTCTCTCTCGCTTTTGTGCTCAAGGCTTGTACCCTACTACTTGAGCCACAGCTCCACATTGAGCTTTTTGTGGTTCATTGGAGATAAGAGTCTCACAGACTTGGCTGCCTTTGGACTGTGTTCCTCAGATCTCAGCCTCCTGAGTAGCTAGGATGACAGGCGTGTGCCACCAGCACCCAGAGGTAAACTTTTTAAAGGTGCTTTCATCTTGCTTCAAATACTGATGTGTGTGTGTGTGTGTGTGTGTGTGTGTGTGTGTGTATGCATGCGTGCGCGTGCGCTCTGGTCCTAGGGCTTGAACTCAGGGCCTGGGTGCTCTTCCTTAGCTTTTTTTGCTCAGGGCTAGCACTTTATCACTTGGTTCTACTATCACAGTTTTACTTCTAGCCTAAAAAAAACCCCCAAAGTTGTGGTTAACTGGGGACACGAGTCTGACAGATTTTCCTGCCCAGCCTGGCTTTCAACCACGATCCTCAGCTGGTGGCCTCTTGAGTAGCTAGGGTTACAGGTGTGAGCCGCCGGGGTCTGGCTTGGCCTCGGTCTTGACCTCAACCGCTTCATGTCCCTTTAGGGACCTTGCTCCTGGCGAGCTAAGCTGGCAGTACTCAGGGATGGGCTGGTGTGGGCAGGCGGGCAGTGGCTGGCACGTGACCTGACCTAAAGGCTCGGGGCACCATGTCCATGTTCTTTCTCCCAGTGCAGATCACCCTGCCCCCCACCATGCAGCTGACGGCCCCAGATGGCGCCGTGTACAAAGCCACGCAGATGCACTACCACTGGGGCGGCGCGTCGTACGAGCTCAGCGGCTCCGAGCACACCATCGATGGGATCAGGCGCGTGATTGAGGTGGGCGAGCACCCCAGGGCCTCTGTCCTTCAAGCTCTACAGTCCTTTTCCTTTCCTTCCCTCCCTCCCTCCCTCTTTCCTTCCTACCCTCCCTCCCTCCATCCCTCCCTCCCTAATTTCCTGCCATCCTTCCTCATGGGGCTTGGGCGCGGGCACTGTCTCTGAGCCCTTTTCCTCAAGGCTAGTGCCCTACCACCGTGAGCCTCAGCTCGTCAGATCCCGGCTGCCACGGTGGTTAGGATGACAGCGCGAGCTACCGGCGCGCCGCAGCGTGAGCAGTCGCGAACTGGCCTTCCCCGTCCTGCTCTTGCTCCCACAGATGCACCTTGTTCACTACAATGCCAAGTATGAGAGCTACGATGTGGCTAAAGATAAATCGGATGGTCTGGCTGTGATGGCGGCCTTCGTGGAGGTAGGTGTGTGTGTGGAGGTAGGTGTGTGTGTGGAGGTAGGTGTGTGGAGGTAGGTGTGTGTGGAGGTAGGTGTGTGTGGAGGTAGGTGTGTGTGTGGAGGTAGGTGTGTGTGGAGGTAGGTGTGTGTGGAGGTAGGTGTGTGTGGAGGTAGGTTGTGTGTGTGGAGGTAGGTGTGTGTGGAGGTAGGTGTGTGTGGAGGTAGGTGTGTGTGGAGGTAGGTGTGTGTGTGGAGGTAGGTGTGTGTGTGGAGGTAGGTGTGTGTGTGGAGGTAGGTGTGTGTGTGTAGGTAGGTGTGTGTGGAGGTAGGTGTGTGTGTGGAGGTAGGTGTGTGGAGGTAGGTGTGTGTGGAGGTAGGTGTGTGTGTGGAGGTAGGTGTGTGTGGAGGTAGGTGTGTGTGGAGGTAGGTGTGTGTGTGGAGGTAGGTGTGTGTGTGGAGGTAGGTGTGTGTGGAGGTAGGTGTGTGTGTGGAGGTAGGTGTGTGTGGAGGTAGGTGTGTGTGGAGGTAGGTGTGTGTGGAGGTAGGTGTGTGTGTGGAGGTAGGTGTGTGTGTGGAGGTAGGTGTGTGTGGAGGTAGGTGTGTGTGTGGAGGTAGGTGTGTGTGGAGGTAGGTGTGTGTGTGGAGGTAGGTGTGTGTGGAGGTAGGTGTGTGTGGAGGTAGGTGTGTGTGTGGAGGTAGGTGTGTGTGTGGAGGTAGGTGTGTGTGGAGGTAGGTGTGTGTGTGGAGGTAGGTGTGTGTGTGGAGGTAGGTGTGTGTGGAGGTAGGTGTGTGTGTGGAGGTAGGTGTGTGTGGAGGTAGGTGTGTGTGTGGAGGTAGGTGTGTGGAGGTAGGTGTGTGTGGAGGTAGGTGTGTGTGGAGGTAGGTGTGTGTGTGGAGGTAGGTGTGTGTGGAGGTAGGTGTGTGTGGAGGTAGGTGTGTGTGGAGGTAGGTGTGTGTGTGGAGGTAGGTGTGTGGAGGTAGGTGTGTGTGGAGGTAGGTGTGTGTGGAGGTAGGTGTGTGTGGAGGTAGGTGTGTGTGGAGGTAGGTGTGTGTGGAGGTAGGTGTGTGTGGAGGTAGGTGTGTGTGGAGGTAGGTGTGTGTGGAGGTAGGTGTGTGTGGAGGTAGGTGTGTGTGGAGGTAGGTGTGTGTGGAGGTAGGTGTGTGTGTGGAGGTAGGTGTGTGTGGAGGTAGGTGTGTGTGGAGGTAGGTTGTGTGTGTGGAGGTAGGTGTGTGTGGAGGTAGGTGTGTGTGGAGGTAGGTGTGTGTGTGGAGGTAGGTGTGTGTGTGGAGGTAGGTGTGTGTGGAGGTAGGTGTGTGTGTGGAGGTAGGTGTGTGTGTGGAGGTAGGTGTGTGTGGAGGTAGGTGTGTGTGTGGAGGTAGGTGTGTGTGGAGGTAGGTGTGTGTGGAGGTAGGTGTGTGTGGAGGTAGGTGTGTGTGGAGGTAGGTGTGTGTGGAGGTAGGTGTGTGTGGAGGTAGGTGTGTGTGTGGAGGTAGGTGTGTGTGTGGAGGTAGGTGTGTGTGGAGGTAGGTGTGTGTGGAGGTAGGTTGTGTGTGTGGAGGTAGGTGTGTGTGGAGGTAGGTGTGTGTGGAGGTAGGTTGTGTGTGTGGAGGTAGGTGTGTGTGGAGGTAGGTGTGTGTGGAGGTAGGTGTGTGTGTGGAGGTAGGTGTGTGTGTGGAGGTAGGTGTGTGTGGAGGTAGGTGTGTGTGTGGAGGTAGGTGTGTGTGTGGAGGTAGGTGTGTGTGGAGGTAGGTGTGTGTGTGGAGGTAGGTGTGTGTGGAGGTAGGTGTGTGTGGAGGTAGGTGTGTGTGGAGGTAGGTGTGTGTGTGGAGGTAGGTGTGTGTGGAGGTAGGTGTGTGTGGAGGTAGGTGTGTGTGTGGAGGTAGGTGTGTGTGTGGAGGTAGGTGTGTGTGGAGGTAGGTGTGTGTGTGGAGGTAGGTGTGTGTGTGGAGGTAGGTGTGTGTGGAGGTAGGTGTGTGTGTGGAGGTAGGTGTGTGTGGAGGTAGGTGTGTGTGTGGAGGTAGGTGTGTGGAGGTAGGTGTGTGTGGAGGTAGGTGTGTGTGGAGGTAGGTGTGTGTGTGGAGGTAGGTGTGTGTGGAGGTAGGTGTGTGTGGAGGTAGGTGTGTGTGTGGAGGTAGGTGTGTGGAGGTAGGTGTGTGTGGAGGTAGGTGTGTGTGGAGGTAGGTGTGTGTGGAGGTAGGTGTGTGTGGAGGTAGGTGTGTGTGTGGAGGTAGGTGTGTGTGGAGGTAGGTGTGTGTGTGGAGGTAGGTGTGTGTGTGGAGGTAGGTGTGTGTGTGGAGGTAGGTGTGTGTGGAGGTAGGTGTGTGTGGAGGTAGGTGTGTGTGGAGGTAGGTGTGTGTGGAGGTAGGTGTGTGTGGAGGTAGGTTGTGTGTGTGGAGGTAGGTGTGTGTGTGGAGGTAGGTGTGTGTGGAGGTAGGTGTGTGTGGAGGTAGGTGTGTGTGTGGAGGGTAGGTGTGTGTGTGGAGGTAGGTGTGTGTGGAGGTAGGTGTGTGTGTGGAGGTAGGTGTGTGTGTGGAGGTAGGTGTGTGTGGAGGTAGGTGTGTGTGTGGAGGTAGGTGTGTGTGGAGGTAGGTGTGTGTGTGGAGGTAGGTGTGTGTGGAGGTAGGTGTGTGTGGAGGTAGGTGTGTGTGTGGAGGTAGGGTGTGTGTGGAGGTAGGTGTGTGTGGAGGTAGGTGTGTGTGTGGAGGTAGGTGTGTGTGTGGAGGTAGGTGTGTGTGGAGGTAGGTGTGTGTGTGGAGGTAGGTGTGTGTGTGGAGGTAGGTGTGTGTGGAGGTAGGTGTGTGTGTGGAGGTAGGTGTGTGTGTGGAGGTAGGTGTGTGTGTGGAGGTAGGTGTGTGGAGGTAGGTGTGTGTGGAGGTAGGTGTGTGTGGAGGTAGGTGTGTGTGGAGGTAGGTGTGTGTGGAGGTAGGTGTGTGTGGAGGTAGGTGTGTGTGGAGGTAGGTGTGTGTGTGGAGGTAGGTGTGTGGAGGTAGGTGTGTGTGGAGGTAGGTGTGTGTGGAGGTAGGTGTGTGTGGAGGTAGGTGTGTGTGGAGGTAGGTGTGTGTGTGGAGGTAGGTGTGTGTGGAGGTAGGTGTGTGTGTGGAGGTAGGTGTGTGTGGAGGTAGGTGTGTGTGGAGGTAGGTGTGTGTGGAGGTAGGTGTGTGTGGAGGTAGGTGTGTGTGTGGAGGTAGGTGTGTGTGGAGGTAGGTGTGTGTGGAGGTAGGTGTGTGTGTGGAGGTAGGTGTGTGTGTGGAGGTAGGTGTGTGTGGAGGTAGGTGTGTGTGTGGAGGTAGGTGTGTGTGTGGAGGTAGGTGTGTGTGGAGGTAGGTGTGTGTGTGGAGGTAGGTGTGTGTGGAGGTAGGTGTGTGTGTGGAGGTAGGTGTGTGTGTGGAGGTAGGTGTGTGTGTGGAGGTAGGTGTGTGTGGAGGTAGGTGTGTGTGTGGAGGTAGGTGTGTGTGTGGAGGTAGGTGTGTGTGGAGGTAGGTGTGTGTGTGGAGGTAGGTGTGTGTGGAGGTAGGTGTGTGTGGAGGTAGGTGTGTGTGGAGGTAGGTGTGTGTGTGGAGGTAGGTGTGTGTGGAGGTAGGTGTGTGTGGAGGTAGGTGTGTGTGTGGAGGTAGGTGTGTGGAGGTAGGTGTGTGTGGAGGTTGGTGTGTGTGGAGGTAGGTGTGTGTGTGGAGGTAGGTGTGTGTGGAGGTAGGTGTGTGTGGAGGTAGGTGTGTGTGGAGGTAGGTGTGTGTGTGGAGGTAGGTGTGTGTGTGGAGGTAGGTGTGTGTGGAGGTAGGTGTGTGTGTGGAGGTAGGTGTGTGTGTGGAGGTAGGTGTGTGTGGAGGTAGGTGTGTGTGGAGGTAGGTGTGTGTGGAGGTAGGTGTGTGTGGAGGTAGGTGTGTGTGTGGAGGTAGGTGTGTGTGGAGGTAGGTGTGTGTGTGGAGGTAGGCCCATCCCAGGTGTGTGAGTCTAGATGAAGTCTTCCTGGCTCTCACTCTTCATCCCTTCCTGAGCTTACAGTCCCTGGCAAGGCTGCCCCGTGGAAGGGGCCCTTGCCCGCTCCGTCTATGCTGCCAGCGACAGGGCCTGGGGTAACTGAAACAAGAAGACTTAAAAGGCACTTGGGATGCCAGGGGCTCAGGCCTGAAATCCTAGCTACGCGTGAGGCTGAGATCTGAGGACTGCAGTTCCAAACCAGCTCAGATGGGAAGGCTGTGCGGCTCTTATCTCCAAAGTAACCATCAAAAACCAGAAATAGAGGTGTGGTTCAGGTGGTAGAGTGTAAGCCTTGAACAAAAGAACTCAGAGAAAGCATCCAAGCCCTGAGTTCAAGTCTCAGGACTGGTACCAAAAAAAAGAGTGTCAGGATCCAAGCTGTCATCCCTGGCCAGGGAGCTCCCAGCCAAAGGCAAGTACTTGGGCTTGAACTCAGGCCCTGCACACTGACCTTAGCTTTTCTGTTCATGGCTGGTGCTCTACCATTTGAGCCACAGCTCTATTTCTGGCTTTTTGCTGGTTCACTGGAGGTAAGAGTCCCATGGATTTTCCTGCCTGGTTTGGCTTTGAACTGTGATCCTCAGATCTCAACCTCCTGAGTGGATAGGATTATAGACGTGAAACACCAGCGCCCAGCACTTTTTTTTTTTTTTTTGTCGATCATGGGCCTTGAACTCTGGGTCTAGGCGCTGTCCCTGTGCTCTTCAGCTCAAGATGAGCACTCTAGCATTTGAGCCACAGTGCCACTTCCGGTTTTCTAGTGGTTTATTGGAGATAAAAGTCTCACAGACTTTCCTGCTTGGGCTGGCTTTGAACCATGATCCTCAGACCTCAGCCTCCTGAGTAGCTAGGATTACAGGCATGAACCACCAGTGCCCGGCTTTTTTTTTTTTTCTTTTTTTGCAAGTCCTGGGACTTGAACTCAGGGCCTGGGCATTGTCCTTGAGCTTCTTTTGCTCAAGGCTAGCACTCTACCACTTGAGCCACAGCACCACTTCTGGCTTTTTCTGTGCATGTGGTACTGAGGAATTGAACTCAGGGCTTCATACATGCTAGGCAAGCACTCTACCACTAGGCCACATTCCCAGTCCTGGAATTACAGGTGTAAGCCACAGGCACCTGGCACCTCTACATTCCTAAAGATGTCCAGGTATGGGGCTGAGGGCTGGGTGGCTGAAGACAGGGGTCTAATTCTCCAAAAATAAGTATTAAAGTAGGTAATTTTGTCAAAACAAAACAACAAAAATGAACCATTTCTGCAGGACCACAAAAACAAAAATATAAAACCCGATCATTTTGGTGCTCTGGAACACGCCGGAGCAAGCAACAAATTATGGCTTTTCTTCATAAAATGTGGCTAGAACCTTAAATAAGGATGGCGAGTGTCTGTGGGCTTCTCGTCCATCCCCACCCCATCACTCGTCTGAGTGGCCCACCCGGGAGCTGACCAGGGCAAGACTGGCCAAGGCCAGGAAAACCTCACTGCCTGGAAAACAGGGCTCATGTGACACAGGTGAGACTGAAGACCAAGCCCAGGAACACTGTCGTCAAGAATACCAGACGTGGACCAGGCGCTGGTGGCTCACACTTGCAATCCTAGCTGCTCAGGAGGGTGACATCTGAGGAATGTGGTTCAAAGCCAGCCTGGAAGGGAAAGTCCAGGAGACCAGAAAACCAGAAGTGGCACTTTGGCTCAAGCACTAGCCTTGAGCAAAAGAGCTCAGGGACAGTCCCAGGCCCTGAGTTCAAGCCTCATGGGCCACCAGAAAGGAAAGAGAGAGAGAGAGAGAGAGAGAGAGAGAGAGAGAGAGAGAGGGAGGGAGGAAGGGAGGAAGGAAGGAAGGAAGGGAGGAAGGAAGGAAGGAAGGAAGGAAGGAAGGAAGGAAGGAAGGAAGGCAGGCAGGCAGGCAGGCAGGCAGGCAGGCAGGCAGGCAGGCAGGCAGGCAGGCAGGCAAGCAAGCAAAGGAGACCAGGCGGGGCTTAGTGAGGAAGAGGCCCCGGGCACCTGGGTCTCTGCTTCGCTGTGTCAATGGCTCCGTTTTCCTTGTAGATCGAGGAGTATGCTGAGAACACACACTACAGCTCCTTAATTTCTCACCTGGCTAATATCAGGTATCCAGGTAAGGGGCTGCAGAAGGGAAGTGGACATGGGTGTGAGGTGGACAGGGGGAGAAGGGGGACCTGGTGGGGAGAGTGGCTGAGGAGCCACATGAATGGAGCCCAGCTCTCTGCCAAAGGTCACTTGCTGTGGCCCTGGGGGAATACTGGCATGGATGGGCATGATCATAGTGGCAGCCCCGCCCCCCACCTGTGGCCCAGTGTGGTTTCTAGGGGTCGCAGTAGCAAGAATTCAGGAGCAGGCAGGCACCGGTGGCTCACGCCTGTGATCCTAGCTACTCAGGCTAGCTGAGATCTGAGGATCACCGTTCAAAGCCAGCCCGAGCAGGAAAGTCCGTGAAACTCTTATCTCCAATAAACCATTAGAAAACCGGAAGTGGTGCTGTGATTCGAGTGGTAGAGTGCTAGCCTTGAGCTGAAGAGCTGAGGGACAGCGCCCAGGCCCAGAGTTCAAGCCCCACGACCCACCAAAAAAAAAAAAAAAGAACTCAGGAGTGAGGGCCAGTACCTGGACACTGCTTGCTTTCATTCTGTGTTTTCAACTCTCAACCACTGCTTTTTTTTTTTTTTTGTGCTGGTCCTAGGGCTTGAACTCAGAATGTGGGCACTGTCCCTGAGCTTTTGGTTTGGTTGTGGGGCCTGAACTCTGGGCCTGGGCGCTGTCCCTCAACTCTTCAGCTCAAGGCTAGCGCTCTACCACTTGAGCCACAGCGCCACTTCTGGCTTTTATTCCTGCTTATATGGTGCTGAGGAATTGAACCCAGGGCCTCAGGCATGCAAGGCAAGCGCTCTACCACTGAGCCACCTTCCTAGCCTATCAATCACTACCTCTAAAAGTGCCTAGGGATCTGTTCTTTGTGCACATTTACCTAGCACCTCAGGAGTTGTAATTCCCTTCTCTCGGATATCATGAAATGTACCTCTGTTGACAGTGACCATGATGGTGACAGTTTCAAGAAAGTCCCTCAGTGCCAGACGCTTTTTGAATATTGTTCCCTTTTGTTTTAGCAGTACCAAAGTTTGGACTCAAGGTCTTGCACTTGCTCAGCTAAAGTTTTAGTGCTTGAACCATACCTCTAGCCCAACATTACTCTCTCTCTCTCTCTCGTCAGTTCTGGGGCTTGAACTTCGGGCCTGGGAGCAAGCAGTCCCTCAGCTCTTCAGCTCAAGGCAAGCACTCTATCACTTGAGCCACAGCGCCCCTTCCAGTTTTCTGGTGGTTTATTGGAGATAAGAGTCTCATGAACTTTCTGCCTGGGCTGGCTTTGACCATGATCCTCAGATCTCAGCCTCCTGAGTAGCTAGGATTATAGTTGTGAGCCACCGGTCCAGCTTCCCTTTCTGTTTTGTGCCAGTACCAGGGCTTGAACTCAGGGCATTGTGTTTTTGCTTGCCTTTCTTTTGCTCATGGCTGATATTCTATTTTTTTTTTTTTTTTTGGCGGTCATGGGGCTTGAACTCTGAGCTTGAGCGCTGTCCCTCAGCTCTTCAGCTCAAGGCTAGTGCTCTACCACTTGAGCTACAGCGCCACTTCTGGTTTTATGGTGGTTTATTGGAGATGAGAGTTTCATGGACTTTCCTGCCCGGGCTGGCTTTGAACTGCGATCCTCAGATCTCAGCCTCCTGAGTAGCTAGGATTACAGGCGTGAGCCACTGGTGGCTAGCTTCACGGCTGTTATTCTATCACTTGTGCTGTACCTCCACTTCCAGCTTTTTGCTGGTTAATTGGTGATAAGAGTCTCTTGGACTTTACTGCTCTGGCTAGCTTTGAACCAAGATCCTTAGATCTCAGCCTCCTGAATAGCTAGGAGTACAGGTGTGAGCTACTGGCACCCAGCGACATTGGTCTTTCTTCTTTGCCTCGTGCAATCATATAGACCTGTGATGTTTTCTGGTGCTGAGGGTGGAGCTCAGGGCCTGACACTTGCTAGGCTCGAGCTGTGTCCCTGGGCCACACCCACGCCCCCCTGGGCCCCTTTCACAACCTCTGAGCCAGCACTGGCCCAGGCCACTCAGCCAGGAGGGAGGCAGCTGCGTGCACCATCTCTACCTCTTTGCTCCTTGCTACCGCCAGGGGGCAGTAAGCTGGGGCCGTGTTTCTCAGTCATTCACTTTGTTCTGCTTGAAATCTGGAATTTGTGCGTGGCGAGTGTGGGCCCAAGCTGTCCTCTCAGCTGGGCCCAGGGGTCGCTCACCGTCCTCTGTCCCGTGTCTTCTGCCTCAGGACAAACCACTTACCTGACTGACTTTGACATTCTGGACATGTTGCCCGGGGACATGTACCACTACTACACCTACAACGGCTCGCTCACCACCCCGCCATGCACGCAGAACGTCCGGTGGTTTGTCATGTCGGACTCCGTGAAGATCTCCAAGGCCCAGGTAAGGAATGAAGGGTGTCGCCTTGGCCTGAGTGCCCCGGGACAGAGCCCCCTTCCAGCATCCGCCACCTGAGAGACCGAGGTGCCTGGCAGACCACAGGGGCTGCCCTCGGCGGGGCACACACAGGGAGGCGAGGAGCTTACCGCCAACTCAGGGAAAGATGTGTCACCAGAGCGCTGCCCACGGACGCAGAATGTTCCCGAGGAGCAGATCCCGCCAGGCTGCCGTAGTCCTCAGGGAGCTTGTGTGCTAATGTCACCAAGTCTTCATGCAAGGATTTCTTCTTCCCTTCCCTTCCCTTCCCTTTTTCCCTCCTTCCCTTCCTTCCCTCTTTTCTTTTTTCCTTTTATCCCCTCCCTTCCTTTTTCCTTTTTTCCTTTTATCTCCTCCCTCCCTCCCTTCCCTCCTTTCCTTTTTCCCTCCTTCCCTCCTTCCCTCCCTTCTTCTCCTTCTTTCCTTCCTTCCTTCCTTCTTTCTTGCCTGCCTGCCTTCCCACCTTCTCTCCTTTTTTTCCCTTCCTCCCTTCCTTCCTCACTTGCTTCCTTCCTTCTTTTCTTTTCCCCTTCCTTTCTTCTTTTCTTCCTTTCTTTGTACAAATCCTGGGGCTTGAACTCAGGGCCTAGGCACTGTTTTATTCAAGCCTGATGCTGGACCACTTGAGCTACAGCTTCACTTCTCGCTTTTTGCTGGTTAAATGGAGAAAAGAGTCTCCTAGGCTTTCCTGCCTGGGTTAGCTTTGAACTATGATCCTCAGATCTCAATCTCACCAGTAACTAAGATTACAGACGTGAGCCACCAGCTTCCCACATGAATGTTTCTTTTTTTTTGTGGGTCCGGTCATGGGGCCTGAACTCTGGGCCTGGGCGCTGTCCCTCAGCTCTTCAGCTCAAGCCTAGCGCTCTACCACTTGAGCCACAGCGCCACTTCCGGCCTTTTTCTTTTTGCTTATGTGGTGCTGAGGAATCAAACCCAGGGCCTCATGCATGCAAGGCAAGCGCTCTACCACTGAGCCACCCTCCCAGCCCCAACATGAATGTTTCTTGGATTGAGTAAATACACAGTAAGGCTATACAGCACAGGCCCATGATACAAAGTTGCTGAAGTGAATGAAGGGGCAGGGATTACTGAAGTTACAGGCAAAGTGGTATTTCTTTTCCAGAGATTGTCTTCCTCAGATAGCAATGTTTATCTCCCTGAAACTTCATGTGCCTTTTCTCGGAGAAGGTGGAAAAGATCTTTTCTAACTGAGAATATCTACACACACAATGCTGCCAGTCAGACTGGCAGTGGTCTCACGTAACGGATGGAGCAGATGCCAAGTTGCTTGAAAGAATGAAATTCAAGTCTAGACCTAAAAGAGTTTCAACAAATAAAATTACTAGAAAGTAGCTCAGTGTAAAAACTATCATAGTACACAAGAAAAAAAAAGAAACTGTAAAGCAGAGATCAGTGGTTCATACCTGTAATCCTTGCTACTTAAGAGGCTGCTACTTAAGAAGGATTGCGGTTCAAGGCCAGCCCAGACAGAAGTCTGGAGGAGTCTGGTCACAATGGCATGTGGTGGCATGCAGGGTGTCAATGGCAGAAAGCCAAGACTCAGCAGATTGGAGTTCAGGGGCAGGCATACCTGGGCCAGAACCAAGACCCTATTATAAAAATAACCACTGAAATAGGGTGCTTGCTTGCCTTGCATGCATGAAGCCCTGGGTTCGATTCCTCAGTACCACATAAGCAGAAAAAGCCGGAAGTGGTGCTGTGGCTCAAGTGGTAGAGCGCTAGCCTTGAGCTGAAGAGCTGAGGGACAGCGCCCAGACCCCACAATGGACAAACAAACAAAAAACCACAAAAAACCCACTGTAAAACAGGGCTGGAGGCATGGCTCAGTGGTATTGGACCAGCCTGTAAAGGTTGTGGAAAAAATGCAGACATTTTCAGAAAAAAACAATTTGAGCTAGCTACTTGGTATAATTTGATGTGCACTTTTCTCTCATATATATGTAATTATTATTTTGAGATAGGATCTCACTATGTAGTCTAGGCTGCCCTCACACTTGAGGTTTTCCAGCCCCGGCCATGAGTACTGGGATTACAGGCATTCTCTGCCACCCCTAGCTTCTCCTTCTAGTATTAAGCAGATACTCATAGAAAAAGATTAGAAGAGAGAGTGTGTGGTTACTTACTGAGATAATGAATGGATGGATGCATTCCAGAATAATGCCTGGCATACAGCACCCAGAACCCCCTCTAAATTTGCAATTGCTTTTTTCTTTTCTTTGTTGACTGTAAGGCTGGAACTCAGGGTGTGGGCACTGTCCCTGAGCCTCTTTGTGGTCACTTGAACTACATTGCCACTTCTGTTTTTTGAGTGGTTAACTAGAGATAAGAGTCTCACAGGGATTTTTCCGCCTGGGCTGGCTTCAAACTGCAATCCTCAGGTCTCAGCCTTCTGAGAAGCTAGGATTACAGACATGAGCTTCTGGCACCCGTCTAAGCTGGCAATCTTATAACCACTTTATGAGGTTCTGGAATCTGGGTTGTAGTCCACCCACTCACTAACCATTTCTTTATTACCCATCACCTTTTGCTATCCATAACTCACCGTCTATTGTCTGCAGGTGATCAAGCTGGAGAATTCTGTGATGAACCATCAGAACCAGACCCTGCACAATGGTTACCGCAAGACCCAGCCCCTTCACTCCAGAGTGGTAGAAGCCAACTTCCCCTACTTCCCGAATGCAAGTGAGTGATACTGACTCTCACTCATTTCTTTGGAATCCCCTCATGACTGTTTTCCTCTCCTTTGCCAATAACAGGAGGAAGAGAATCCTATTTATTTATTTGCCAGTCCTGGGGCTTGAACTCAGGGCCTGGGCACTGTCCCTAAGCTTCTTTTGCTCAAGGCTAGCACTCTACCACTTGAGCCACAGCACCACTTCTGGCTTTTTCTGTGTATGTGGCACTGAGGAATCGAACCCAGAGCTGCATGCATGGTAGGCAAGCACTCTACCACTAAGCCACATTGCCAGCCAGGAGAGTCATCTTAATGCAGGAAGTTCAGGTGAGCCTACTTATGCCGGCATCTTCCAGCCCAGGCCTTGGTGCCTGTGAGAATCACCTGGTCTGTCACCTTCCTGAACTTGCCACAGACTTAGGAGAAGCAAGGCAGTAACAGCCACAAGCTCTTCTACCAGAGTAACAATCCTCATTAAACCCAACTCACACAAGTTCCTGCAACTGTGTTACAGGTTCACCCCCCTGGGTCCCCCACGCCCTTCCAGGTGGGGTTAATTGGATGAAATGCTGTTTACTCTCTCTGGGTGGAGATGAAGGACCAGGTCTCAGGGTGCTGTCCTCCATCCAGTGCCCCCTCCCCAACCCCTGGATCTGGTGGCACAAGAAGCTCATGGCTGAAAAGGCACTGTAGTGGCACCCACAGTCTGCCCCACTGCATTCTGTGTCTCTTATAATTAGGGCTCAATCTGTTCTCCTACTTCATTCTCTTTAGGACCGATTCCTATGAACAGTTATGGACCTTTCATATCCTTCACTACAATAGAAGGATGACCGGCCAAAGTTGCCTATTGAGTACTACCCCTTCTTTATCTGTACTTAGCAGAGTCAAAAAATATTTTCGCATTTACCTCTTAGATTGTAGCAGACAGGATATTATAACAGTGACACTTCTGGTTGCCAGCGGCGAAGGGCTGCGCGCTCTCAGGCCAGCCACGGAGAGTTCAGCCCCTCTCACACATTTGTTTGTTTTCCCTTCTGTGTGCTCATACTAGGGCTTGGACTAGGGCCTAGGAACTCTCTCTTAGCCTTTACTTTCAAGGCTGGCACTCTCCCACTTGAGCCACAGCTTCATTTCTGGCCTTTTAGTGGTTCATTGGCGATAAGTGTCTCATGGACTTTCCTGCCTGAGCTGGTTTTGAACCTCGATCCTCAGATCTGTCTCGTGAGTGGCTAGGTACAGGCGTGGCCGCGTGCTCCTGGCTCCCTTGTGTCTTGGTCAGGCATATCTCCAGGTTCTCCCGCTTCCCCTGGGAAGAACTGTCACTGTCCTGAGTCCCGGGGAGCCTGGGTCCCACAAGCCACACCCCAAGTGCTCTTTCCACCAGGGGCCCTTCTAGTTTGTCCTCATGAGGGCGCTGACGTGTCATCGACACGGCCTCCACTCAGACTCTTCCTGAGGCCACTTGCCCACGCCTCCCCTGAGGGCCTCCCTTCCTGAACTTCCTGCTCACCCTTGCCACTTCACATCCCCCTTGGAAAGTAGGGGCCATCTTCCCTTACCTCCAGCTGTGGGATCTGTGTTGTGGCTTCCTGTGCCGATCCTAGACCAGTCCCACTTCCCTCAGACCCAGATTTCCTTCCTCCCTTCTTTCCTTCCTTCCTCCCTCCCTTTCTTCCTTCCTTCCCTCCTCCCTCCCGCCCTCCTTCCTTCCTCCCTCTCTCCCTCTCTCCCTCCCTCCCTCTCTCCCTCCCTTCCTTCTTTCTTCCCTTTCTCCCTCCCTCCCTTCCCTCCTTTTCTTCTCTTTCTTTCTTTCTTTTTTGGGGTCCGGTCATGGGGCCTGAACTCCAGGCGTAGGTGCTGTCCCTCAGCAATTCAGCTCAAGGCTAGCGCTCTACCACTTGAGCCACAGAGCCACTTCTGGCCTTTTTCTTTTTGCTTATGTGGTGCTGAGGAATGGAACCCAGGGCCTCATGCATGCAAGGCAAGCGCTCTACCACTGAGCCACCTTCCCAGCCCTTTTTCTTTCTTTCTTTCTTTCTTTCTTTCTTTCTTTCTTTCTTTCTTTCTTTCTTTCTTTCTTTCTTTCTTTCTTTCTTATCTCTCTTCCTTCTTTCCTTCCTTTCTTTTTTCTTTCCTTTTTCATCCTTCCTTCCCTCCCTCCTTCCTTCTCTCTCCCTCCCTTCCTTCCCTTCCTTCCTTCCTTCCTTCCTTCCTCTTTTTCTTCTTTTATACTTATACTGGGGCTTGAATTCAGGGTCTGGGTTCTCCCTCTTAGTTGTTTTTTTTTTTCAAGGCGAGTTCTTTACTATGAACCACAGCTCTACTTCTACGTTTTTAGTGGTTCATTGGAGATGAGTCTCACAGACTTTCCTGCCTGGGCTGGCTTTGAACTGTGATCTTCCAATCTCAGCTTCCTGAGTAGCTAGGATTACAGGTGTGAGCCATTGGCACCTGGCTCAGACCCAGATTTCTACATAGCAGTGGCTGACTGCCTTGTGTAGAATCTCACCCCAGCTGGGTTACTGTGATCCAACTGTCAATAAGAAAAAACCTGAGAAAGACAAGGATCCTTATGAACCTTATATGTTTTCACAATATTGGGGATTGAACTCACGGCCTTGTGCTTGCTAGGCAGGTGCGCTACCACTTGAACCCATTTTGCATTGATTATTTTCAAGGTAAGGACTCACTTTATGCCCTGGCCAGCCTGGGCTGTGATCCTCCTACTAATGCTTCCCATGTGGCTGGTGTGGCAGGCACACACCACCTCACCTGCCATTGGTTGGGATGGAGTGCTGGGAACTTTTATGCTGGGCCTCAAATGGCAATTCTTCCCATCCCATCTCCACCTCCCAAGAAGCTGGGATTACAGGCTTCAGCCACTGTGCTCCACCCTACAATTTAGTTATTAGAAAACAGCTATATCCTGCATGACAAGAGTCCTGAGCATGACCTGATGCCAGTAGGATGGGAACCGGGAGGCATTCCAGAGCTCACACACAAGGGGGGAGTGGGGGGGCTCAGCGGGAGATGGGGCTGAGCACACCAGGCTCTGGTTTTGATCCCCAAGTGTGGTAATGAGTTTGATCCATGTTGCTTGTTGTTATTGTTGGGTTTTTTTTTCCCAGTCCTGGGCTTGAACTCGGGGTCTAGGGACTGTTCCTGAGCTTTTTCATTCAAGGCTAGCACTCTGCCACTTGAATCACAGATTCACTTCTTCCCAGGGTGGCTGAGATCCTCAGATCTCAGCTTTCTGATTAGCCAGGCTTAGAGGCATGAGCCACTGGCACCTGGCTTCTTTCTTTCTTCTTCTTCTGTGACAGTACTGGGGCTTGAACTCAGAGCTTTGTACTCTAGTGTTTTTGCTCAACCCTAGTGCTCTACCACTTGAACCACAGTTCCAGTTTTGGCTTTTGGGGGCTTAATCAGAGATAAAAGTCCATGGACTTTCCTGCCTGGGTTGGCTTTGAACCATGATCCTCAGATCTCAGCCTCCCAAGTAGCCAGGATTACAGAGCAAGCCACGGGCATCCAGCATTAACTCTTCTTTTTGTCCAATGTATCTCAGGATCGCAGTACCAGTATTACTTGCATAGGATCAACACCAAACTTGACAGCCTGATAAGCAGTTTGGCTGTGAAGAACTTGAAGAAGAAAAGACACCACTAGCCAGCCGGGGAGGCGGTGGGCAGGTGCCAGCCTGCCCTGCCTCGTGCCACGCAACCCTGGAAATTGGAACCGCATTGCTCCTACCTGTGAAAACCAGGTGATTAACACAGGAAAAGCCGTCTCCCAGGGAAGGGAGTGAGACCGTGAAACGTCTTACCAATGGACGGAGTAGAAAGCAAGTGAGAGGAAATGGAGGCAGCGAGCTCACTTCCTGTGAGGGCTTATTTGGGGCGGGGCAGCCCTGGTATACACCAGGCCCTAGGTGGGAGCCAAGACACCGGAAGACAACACAAAACCCTTCACCTCAATCTGTAAATGATAATCCCGCACGAACCTCCCTTTAGGCTTTCGGGGTAGTAAAGTGATTTGGGAAAGGTTGCCAGCCAGTTCGCCTCTTTCCGCGCCTCGTCCTCCGCCGAACACAGAGCGCAGGGCGCGGAGCTGCACCCGCGGGAGGTGGTGTGGAAGCCAGGACCAAGAGGGAAGCAAGGAGAGTCTTCAGTGCGCTTGTTTGCTACATGACTTAGTTTTCATTACATGTAGCTCAGGCCATCTAGCCTCTCACTTAGTTACCTAAGCCCAGACTGGCCTCAAACACTGCATCCTCTTGCCTCAGCCTCTCAAGTGCTGAGATTACAGGTGTACGCCGTCATGCTCAGCTAGCAGGACATGGGTGCTGCCCTGGAAGGGTACCTGGGACCATGTACCACTCACAAGAACAGTATCAGAGAGTAGGAACTGTGGTGCACTAGAAGACCAACTACAGGGAGGCACAGGAGCTCTGGCTGGGTGTTGTTCAGTGCTGGGCGCAGGTGGACACAGGCTGGCACAGGCTGGCCCTGAGGCCCTGGGGGAGAAGGGAGATGGGCGCTCAGGATGGCCTAGAACAACGAAGGGACTTTCATTTTGAGTGTGTCTCAATGGTGGGGCCACGTGCATCGCTCCCCACTGATGCCAGCCCTCGGGAGGCTGAGGCAGGAGGATTCAGAGGCGAAGGCTCGCTTGCTCCTCCTGTCTAAAACAAATGCGCAAACACACAAAAGCCACTCATTCGTCAATAGGAGCTTCAAGGAGAAGCTGGCCATCAGTGGCTCACACCTGTCATCCTGGCTACTCAGGAGGTTGAGATCTGAGGATCACAGTTCAAAGCCAGCCTGGGCAGGAAAGTCTGTGAGACTCTGATCTCCAATTAACCACACACACACACACACACACACACACACACACACACACACACACACACACACACACACACACACACACACACACAGAGCCAGAAGTGGAACTGTGGCTCAAGTAGTACACCAGCCTTGAGCAAAAACTCAGGGACAGCACCTAGGCCCTAAGTTCAAGCCCCAGGACCTGTATGCAATTGAATGGATGCACCCATGCTCACGCATGCATGCACGCACACACACACGTGTGCGTGCACATGCACATGTGTGCATGTTCAATAACCATCTAAGTTGCACACACACTTTATCTTGCTGGAGGCACACCACCGAGCAGCGTGGTGGAGGCTGGGAGGCTCAGAGACCGCGGCCTCCCAGGGAGCACGCTGTGGTGGAGCTCTGGCCTCCGCTCCCTGCCTCCACTCCCTGCCTCCACTCCCTGCCTCCGCTCCCTGCCTCCGCTCCCTGCCTCTGCTCCCTGTGGGCCCAGCCTGGAGGCGGTGTTGCCTCCGCTGTCGGTGTCTCTGCGTTTTCAGCTGCCCTCTCTCCTGTCTCGATTCTTGGTTCATCTCCCTGGATCACACTCTGTCCTCCAGCCCCGACTCTTTCTACCCCCCCAGTCCAAGGAGGAAACTTTTATTTTGGTACCACTACTGGGGCTTGAACTCAGGGCCTGGGCATTGTCCCTTTTTTGGCTCAAGCCTGGCGCTCTACCCCTTGAAACCATTCACTCCTGGCATTTTACTGGTTCAGTAGAGATAAAGGTCTCATGGACTTTTCTGTCCAGGCTGGCTTCAAACAGTGATCTTCAGATCTCAGCCTCCTGAGTAGCTAGGATGACAGGCGCGAGCCACCCGCACCCGGCTAACGCGGTGTGCTCTTTGCACGGAAGGGACACTGCCATGGCTTTCTGCATTGCTTCTCAAGAGTGACCTTTCCACCCCGCCCCACACTGCCTGTGCTGGGGTCAAGTCCAAGTGGAGCTGTGCATTCTGGGTGAGCGGGGCCTGGGCACGTGTGTTCCCCAACCACCGGCTCCTGCCCGCCTCCTGGACCTCGACCCCTACACCCTCTTATCTGTGCTCACTTCCCCGCAGCTCCTGGGGGAAGGCCCGGGAGTCCCCGCAGGAAGCAGGGTGCACAGAGCTGGCCTTCAGTGCAAACAAGATGACGTGTGGCTGGCACGTGCAGGGACTCTGCCCCGGCCGCAGCCGCCGTAGGCAGGACTCGCAGCCCCGGCCTCCTGACCCCAGCACCTTCTCCATCCGCAGTGACCCCACACCTGCCACCAGTGCTTACAAGGCCCTGAGCTAAGTCTCACCCAGCACTTGGCCCTCAGAGGTGGCCTCTCCTGTGGGCTGGGCGCTGATGTCCCCGCTCAGTGGCTGGGGAAGAAGTGCCAGAGAAACTGCAGACTGGTTTTAGGGGTGCAGCCGGTGGCACCGTGGAGGTTGGGATTCGGATCTCCTTATTTCCACTGTTTTATTAAGATCAGTGCTTTACAGCAGGTGCCAGTGGCTCACGCCTGTAATCCTAGCTACTCAAGAGTCTGAGATCTGAGGATCTCTGGGGCTGCGCCATCTTCCTTCCCCGACATGAATTTCAGGTGTGGGCAGTGCCTCAGTTTACCTGCTGCACCTGTCCACCAGCGATCAGAGACCTCAGGAGTCATGGGCCTGGAGCAGGGCCATGGAAGCAGCAGAGCTGCCTCATGCAAGTCCGCGTGGCGGGTGCTGTGGTGACTCAGGGAGCCTGCCCAGGCCCTGCTGGCCGCTGAGCAGAACATAAAACACTCTGTGATGAGACAATGGAAAACAGATGAAAGTTACTATTAAAAAAAACCACAAAATAGTTCAAAATTCATTGTCAAATTCATTCATCAGGCTGGGTCTGGAGGCTCCTACCTGCTTGGGAGGTAGATTGAAAAGGTCAAATTCAAGGCCAGTCAGGATGAAGAGTTAGTGTAACCCTATCTCAACCAATAAGCTGAGTGGGGTGGTACCCACTTTTCACCCCAACTCTGGGAGGCATGAATAGGAGGGTTGCTGTTTGTGATGGTTTAGGCAAAAAGAAACAAACAACCAAAATCATACCTGAAAAAAATACGGCAAAAAGGACAGTTACAGGAAAAAATATATTTCATGAAGAATCTAGGGGTTGGGAAGGTGGCTCAGTGGTAGAGAGCTTGCCTTGCAAGCCTGAGGCCCTGGGTTTGATTCCTCAGTACCACATAAGAAAAAAGAAAAAAGCCGGAAGTGGCACTGTGGCTCAAGTGGTAGAGCGCTAGCCTTGAGCTGAAGAGCTGAGGGACAGCGCCCAGGCCCAGAGTTCAGGCCCCACGACCAGACCTCTCCCCCACCCCAAAAAAATAAAAGAATCTATAAGCATTGACTCTGTGTGTGTGTGTGTGTGTGTGTGTGTGTGTGTGTGTGTGCGCGTGCGCGTGCATGTGCACGCATCAGTTCTGGGGTTTGAACTTGTGGCACTGTTCCTTACATTTTGGGCTCATTCTAAAACTTGAGCCACAGCTCCACTTCCAGCATTTTTGGTAGCGAATTGGAGAGAAGAGTCTCATGGATTTTTCTTTCCAGGCTGGCTTTGAGCTATAACCTCATATCTCAGTCTCCTGTAGCTAGGATTACAGGCAGGAGCCCCAGGTGCCCACCATAAAGCATTGACTTTAATAAAACAATGGAACATTTCTTGATTCTGAAAAAATGCTTCAGGGCCTGGTTGGGGGAAGGGGGAAATGTAGCTCAGTCCTTTTCTAGCATATTATAGGTCCTGGATTCTATTCCCAGCAACACATACTCACTACAACACCAGTAGTGCTGGGCACGGTGGCTCACGCCCATAATCCCAGCACTTGGAAGGAAAAGGGGAATGTTTAGCTATTTTGAACCCTGGCTATGTAAGAAGCATGGGGATGTAGCTTTGAGTAAAGAGCTTGCCTGGCATCTGTGAAGCTGTGGGTTTGATCCCTAGTAATGAAAACCAACACCAGAAACAAGAAAACTAAAGCAAACCCCAGGAGATGTGAGCAGGCTGGACTAGCATAGTGCACACAATTACTCCCACTAAAAACATATCTGCTTTGTTTTTGAACACATGTAATGTGTGAGACTCCGACGCATGCACACATGCACACACACACACACGTATATATAGATGCATATATGCATGATACACATATACATGTATGACATGCATATACATACGCATTAATATATGTATACAAGCATATATTAATGGTATGAAGAACTGTAAGAGGATGGGACACATCCATCCAGGGGACCACGCAGAGGCAGGCAGGCACAGGAGAAAGATTATTATAAGATTTATTAGAGGAGCTGTATTTCCCCCAAGAGGGAGCACATGGCCTCTGTCACCATCTAGGTAGCAGGAGGGTCTGGGGGATGGGAAGTAAATGGGAGTTCAGGTGGGTCTGAGTGGAGAGAGGGAGGGGCCAGCTGTAAGGAGGGAACTTCAGGAATGGGAGGGGGCCAGGTCTGGGTGGAGCTGAGGACCAAAGGTGAGCCTAACACTAACAACAACTACTATAGTCCTTCCTACAAAACACTAGTTATAAACAAGCAATCCTCGTGTGTGTGTGTGTGTGTGTGTGTGTGTGTGTGTGTGTGTGTGTGTGTGTGTGTGTGTGTTGGAATGGGGACTTGAACCCAGAGTCTTGTACTGTAATTCAGCTTATTTGTTGTTGTTGGTGGTGGTCGTGGGGCTTGAACTCTGGGCCTGAGCACTGTCCCTCAGCTCTTCAGCTCAAAGTGAGCGCTCTTCCACTTGAACCACAGCGCCATTTCTGGTTTTCTG